CTGCATGATTTCCCGAAGTAGCTTTGGTTGGAGGTTGTGAAGGTTTCTCCTTAGCCTGAATTGCCGCTTCAGACTTTGGCCTCCAAACTTTGCGAGTTGGTGGCGGCTTCTTGGCTACCTCTCTTTGCAACTTTCTACGGGCTTCTTCGGCTTGAGCCCGTGCCTGCGCTGATAGTGCGCGGCGTTTGCGGATGCGTTCTTCCAGCGTCGAACGATTCCGTTTGACACGGATCCATTCCATTGTTGGCGGCTTGGAAGAGGTGCCGTTCATCTGTTGTTGAGGCTGTTTGCCTCTCTTGTTCTTCAGATCCGCGTTGTAGCGGATCCCGTCAACTGACTCCATGGCCTTTGCGAATTGTTTCGCAAGGTGTTGACGTTGCCTTTGGCGGGCTCTCTTCGAGAGAGTCACCACGCCCTCTGCGGCAGAAGGGTTGGCTAGAGCAAATCTGCCCTGGTTGGGAATTGGAGGAATCTCACCCGATGCGACTTTGGCATCAAACGGGGCGAGATCTTCGTTGGTGTTTTCAACGTCTTCATACCAATGAGTTTTTCTCCTGGAGGAGAACTTTTTGGATTTACAGGGGGAGGTTGATCCGGACGAGGACAACAAGTATTCCTCGAACTTCTGCTGGTCAAACTCGTATTCGACCTCCTCCACGACCGGGATTGAGATCCGCGGCTGCGACGCTCCGATCTCGGCAGCGAGATCGGTGGCTCCCACTGTGGTCGCCAGATTGTTCGCGGGAAAAATTGTAGCTTTCATTGATTCCATTGCACACTCTTGTAATAGTTTATCGATTACAAAGATCCGGTCTTTTTATAAGATCCGGTTACAACTAAATCAAATTGAAAAGAAATGAAAAATACAACTTTGTTTCCTTGTTTGTCGAACGAATCACGAGCTCCTGTTTTGCGGTCACTCGTTTTGGTGGGTTCTTTGCCTTGCGCCGCGGTTATTCCGGGACACGACTGATCTAGATCGGTCGGCATCTAGCAGGACGCCCACGCGCTATGAACGCGTTGGATTTCGCCAAAAGGAAATAATAGCCGAGGGTACTATTCGCAAGGAAGGTGCCTTCTAGTCTACGGGATCCCAAAGACCAAGCTTTGATCCGGGAGGGTATGCCCTACGTAGATCTGGGATCGCGTTCTTCCTCGATACTCTTCCCTTATTTGGCCGGTTGCGACTCGCCGCAGCACCGGATGCGCAACGAGGCATTATATATTAGTCCAAAGCTCACATTTTTTAATTGCACCATTGAATCCAGCAGAAGCTTCGCTCCAAGTTCAACCGGCGTAAAAAATGAACACTCAAGGGCCTATTATAGGCTCGCGATCTGTTGCCCGGCACAGATCTGGCCGGCCAGGCCTAGCCTATTGGTGCTCTGTATAGGCTGGCTCGGCGACTGGGCCGACACCAGGGGCGTGCGGCGCCGAGGCCACCCATGGGTGGCTCGGCCGCCGACCACCCATGGGTCGGCTCGGCCCAGATCTGGGCTTAGCCCAGGTGGCTCGGTCACCGAGCCACCTAGAGGTGGCTCGGTTTTGGCCGAGTCCCCTAGGTGTTGTGGTTTTTACCGTTTTTTGGTCTCGTGGTTGATTTAGACCCGGATTCTGATTTGACAGTCCGAATCCCAATATGGCAGTAAATCCGCCTTGGTGTTTGAGTTCGAATCCGTTCTATGGTTGGATGACTCGTTGACTCACCGAACTGTTTGCTTGATTCCGCATGCGAATGGATGTATTCTATTGTTTGCGTGCGGTTCGTTAGCCTCGTCGCCTCGTTAATCCGCTTCGTTGCGTGTCACTTGGCTTTGGCGTTGTGGACTGATGCTCGTGTTTGGATACGTCGCCCGATATTTCGTCGGTTTGTGCCGAGCTGTGCTAAGGGACCTATAAGCAATTTTATACGCCTACACCCTTTCAAAGATGACGAGGTTCCAGCCATCTTCTAGTACCTCCTGAACCACAACAAAATTAAGCTGTCACGTATTAAAAATCAGGACGAAGCCGACAAGAGTTCAGACCCAATATACTGTGCATATGACAGAAGGGTCATTCATCCCACTAAGTCTTGCTTCATTCTTAAAAACAGAATTCAAGCCATGGTTGAGGCCGGCATCATAACGGTAGAACAAACCGAATAAGAACGACAAACACTCTGAAAAGTATATGAGTCTAAACTGCTTCTCCCGAAACTCCAATAGGTATATGAGTATAAACTATTTCTCCTGTATCTAACGGGAAGTTCCTGGAGAATATTACACATGATATTCTTAAGGATAACCCGACATCAATAAAAGGGTTGGAAATAAGACACTGCTTATAGGACTCAGTTTCGCCAAAGAGCTATGGGTCGAGTATCTCGAAACTTTTGGTGATTCTCAACTCCTAGTCAAACAAATTCATGGAGAGTACAAAGTCAGAAATCAAGACCTGATATCGTACCATAAGGCGACTATCGAGATGACAGACTCGTTTAAAGAATTCTTCATCGAGTACGTTCCACGTCTCCAGAACGCATATGCAGATGCATTGGCAGCACTAGCAGTATCTCTGACACAGCCTCCCAACACAGAACAATGGATCACTGTGAGAACTCACCAACTCTTCATACCAGACTATACCTTAAACATCAAAGAGGCGCACTCGGCCAGAATTGAACTCGAGCCTCGAGATTGGCGTTTTCCCATTATTGATTATGTCTTACACGGTATTTTACCGGTAGACATAAAAGAAAGAGACTCGGTCCGACGAAGAGCATCGAGATCATATTATAACACGACGACCCGGACGCTGTATCATCTCGCACACGACAGTCTACTACTCCAATGCCTTTCAACCAAAGAGGCAGAGGAGGCACTCAGGGAAGCACATGATGGGAACTATGATGCACACCAACCCGGTCCTAAACTCTATGATCGACTCAGAAGAATGAGATATTATTGGCCAACCATGATCAAGGACGCAGTTGATTACGCCCGACGGTGCCACACATGTCAAGTACATGCAAATTACATGCACCAACCCTCGGAACATTTGCACCCTTCTACCACTTTATGGTCATTTGAGGCATGGGGAATGGACATTGTCGGTCCTATTTTTCCACCGTTAGCCAAAGATGACTGTTTCATTTTGGCAATCACCGACTACTTCTCAAAGTGGGTCGAAGTGTTCCACTCAAAGAAGTGAAGACAAGTGACGTCGTCAAGTTCATCAAACACCACATCGTCTACCAATACGGTGTTCCAAGGAGAATCATGCATGATAACGATCCTCAGTTTGTCAGCAATACCTTCATCAAATTCTGTGGAGATTCAAGATGTTTTATCGACGACATACAATCCCATGGTGAACGGATTAGCTAAAGCTTTCAACAAAACCATTATTGAGATTCTCTCAAAGCTCGTGAGAACCAATAAATGAGATTGGGACGACAAACTTGACGAACATCTTTGGGCCTATCGCACCACAGTCTGCACACCTACTAGAGCGACTCCGTGCTTTCTAGTATATGGATGTGAGGTTGTTCTTCCATTGGAAATACAAATTCTATCCCTTCGCATTGCTCTCGCAACAGGGATGACGACGGAGGAACAATATTAGGAATGTCTCAAAGAACTTCAGATGTTAGACAAAAAGTGCTTAGGAGCTCAGTAGAAAATTGAGTTTTATCAGGCCAGAATCTCTCGGGCTTTTAATAAAAGAGTCCGACAACAAAGCTTCAAGGAAGGAGACTTGGTTCTCGCCGTTCGGCGACCAATGATACTCAACTCCAAAAGAAGAAAGATAAATTTCAACCCAAATGGGAAGGACCGTTTGGGATAGAGACAGTCTACTCAAACGACGCATATCGCTTAATCAACCAAGACGATGACAAGCTCATGATGCCAATAAATGAGAAGTTTCTAAAAAAGTACTATCATTGGTACGGTCATGATAACCCATTTAACTGGAAGTTCCTAGGGTATTCTTAAGGATAACCCGAGATCAGGTAATTATTCAAGATGAAGACCAGTCATCTGAATAATTCATCATTAATCATAAATAAGAAGTGATTAAGAACCTCCAACGGTGGCTATTTAATCATTTCCAAGATGTTTATAACCCTCACACTATGACTTTCCGAGCACTCTTTCTTTGAGATGAGATTTAATGACCACATTTGGTCAATCTTCCCTTACGAAACTCCCACGATGTAACTGTGGAGTGCTTGATGATTCACGATCCTCCACCATAAAGTCTCTCACTGATCAAATTAACTGACAGTGGGTCTGTCACGCCCCGCTTCCCAAAATACCCGGGAATTGGAACGCGAGCAAGCCCGCGACGTATTAGACTGAGAAGAGATAAGTGCTAGACCCCGTCTTCTCAATCTAATACGCTAAGCGTCAAGAAATAAAGCGAAGGTACAGGTCCCCGATCACACATAGCAAGAATATAATGAACAATACAGAATATGAAATAACATATCATCGAAAGTAGATCATCCGAGACATAAAATACGGGTCAACATGCCCTTATACAAGACTCTCTGAATGAAATACTGGAAAATATAAAATATAATAATCCAGCGGTAAGAAATGCTATAAAAGAAAACTAAGATCAAATAACTAAGCTTCAGCTTCTTCTGCAACACCGTCTTCAAGGCACTCCTGTTGAGAATCATCTGACTCCTGTTGAACCTGCTCTTCTCCTAAGTCTGACGTACACCAGAGAAAACAGGTGTACGTCAGGTGCATGACGCACGGCAAGACCCGACCCCACAAAGAAAATAGGAACGGTCGAATGACCAATGCAATAACAGATGCAACAGTAGTAATAATAATAGAAGAGTGACCAAAGCGATAACATAAATAGAAACATGTGATGATAGTAGTAACAATAGAAGTATGCAACTGAAATACTAACAAGCTAGATACAATCCATCACTAGAGTATAACAATCAGGAAAAACATAAACATCCGAGTAACAAGATCATACAGCTAGCCATCCTATAATCATCCACATAACAACAATGTTTCAAGAGCCCCTTTAAGGGCTATAGCACTTGTATCCTCAACATGAACAATGCCAATAAATCTTTCAACTACAAAACCTCTATAATCAACAAACCGCACCACAACCGCCATTTGTTCTTTACCCGAGCAATCTCCCGATTCATCAACAAGAACACAAAAGAAACCATCTTCAATTTCTCCAACTATTTTCTTAATAGTTTCAACCGCACATGCATTTGCAAGTTCCTTTTGAATTTGAGGAGAAGTCATTTTACTATTTCCTCCACCACTTGTTATTGCTCCCGCTATTTTTTCACTATTTCTCCCCAATGCTTCAATAAATTCTAGAAAATGACCCTTATAAAAAGAACCTTCCCCCTCATTATGTCCCCTAAATGCCAATCCACCTCTAACAAGAAACTTGACAGCTTCAAGTGATGCTTTTAAACGAACAAGATAATCGGCTTCTTCTTTTGTACTATATTTTGCATACGAATACTCGATACACTGATTTTTCTTCATAAGATCCTCACATGCTTTCACACACTTTTTATGATGACTATTGGGTTTGTCACCAACATGTTTATTTAACTTGTGCTTGAGATTCCAACCTTTAAAACCTTCTTTCACAAATGCTGGATTACTAGAACCTTTGTAGCATACATAACAAGGCAAACAAAATACAGCATCTCTCTCTATACTATATTCCAACCAATCATACTCTTCATACCAACTATTATGAAAAGAACGATCCCTTCCCCCCAAATTTGTGGTAGGATATTCCTTTAAGTTTGGTCGACATGGGCCCTTTACAAGGTAAGCTCTTCTTACCTCTTCTTGATCATTTGGATGATAATCAAGAATTTGATCTCTTTTTGCAGGATCCGACTCCAAATATGCTCCCTTATTAAACACTTTATTTGTGCAAATCGGTTCGGGTTGAGTGTCACTTGAGGAGGGAAGTGAAGAAGGTTGATCACCAATGATAGAAACATTTGGCTTCTCCGAAAATCTCGGTTTTCGTTGGAAGTAATTAAGCATCCTATTATATAAAAAATACAATGACTTATTAATTTAAAATCACTCTAAAAAATTCAAACAGAAACATTTAAACAATTGATGGACTCGTTTTAACATTGTAGCAACAAACCATTGAATTAAAATTGAAATACCACTAAATTGACATATCAATTACCTAAACTAAATTGGTTTCACAAACAAACAAAAAAACGAATTCAGTTTATAAAGTAATCAATTCAATCTTATAGAAATCAGTTATCAATCCAATCATAATTCCTAAACAAATCACCTACAATCAATTTCACACCAAAAAAACACTTCAATTAAATTTCACAAACAATGAATTAAAGAAGGGGAAGAGAGTCAAGAGACTAGACCTGAACTCCTTAAGGCGGGCGCGGACGTGGCTCAGGCTGGGCGCCGGCGGTGAGGACTGAGGAGGCGGACGTGCGGCGTGCCTGGTCGGATTCTTGAAGTTGAAGGTGAAGGGTCTTAGGGTTTGGTGTTTGGTGGTCTCAGGTTTTGTGAGATAAGGTGAAACCGTGAAATGGTAAAGTGGTCGGGTCGGGTAAAAAAGGTTGGGTATAAATTGGGTTAAAAAATAAAAATAAAATGTAAAAATTAAAACATGAAAAAAATTCCCTGCAGGATTCGAACCCACTCCCACGCTACCGCTGAGATTTTTCAATCCTTGGCTTATACCATATGGGCAATTGTTTCTAATGTTAGGGTATTCCAAGGAATACCCTATACCCCCTTCCCTCCGCCCCTGTATATATATATATATAGAGAGAGAGAGGGGTGTTTGGGTTAGGGTTTTAAAAATTAAAATAATTAATTATGGGTATTTAAAAATTAAACTAATTACATAATAATTATCTACAATTAAAAACATACATGTTGTACTAATACAACAGTTGATACGAAATAGTTGAAATATACTCATATTGTATAATTAAACAAGAATACTTAATAATAAAAATATTTTTACTTACATTTAAAATCAAATAATTATGGGATAATTATCTATACAGTAAAACGTACAAGTTATACTAATACGACAAATAATATGTAACAATAAAAATAATACAATAAATTATACCAAAAACACGTAATTAATAATACTATGTATTATGTGAAATAATTTATAATAATATTAATAACACAATATATTATTTAAAATATTACATAATAGTATTGATAACATAATAAATTAATTTCAGAAATTTTTATCACACAAAATAAATTTATAAATATCAAAATCATTTAAATAAATATATAATCAGATTTTTAAATCATAGAAAATTATACAAAATCGAGAAAATACAAATACTCTTTTTAAGAATAATAATTAAATATTTGAAAATACCGTAAAATTATTTTAACTAGTATCGAAAATTCATGGTCCTTACAGGGTCCACCAAAATTCTTTCGGCTGAGTCCATCCAAACTCCCACTGTGTTTGTGAACCTAACACTCCAAATGTTAAAGTCCCAACACGGTACTCAAAAGTTCAAGCTGCTAAACATGATAATTAGCAAACCTCTTTCATGTTAAGTTCTTGTCACTTGACGGTGAAAATCCCTACCGAGTGATTTGTACAAGTCAAAATTCCCACTGTTATTTGTATCCCGCTCCCACTACTCGTTTGGTCAAACCTTCCTATAGTTAGGACCAAAGCCAAAATCTCCTCTCGATTCTTTCCATGAACGAGAGGTCCACTTTCAGAAAAGGAACTTCCTTTTCGATAAACGAAAGGCCTTCACCAAAGTTGAACGATCAAACCTATAAAAGTTAGGGTCGTCTCAATAGCCCCTACCCGGTCAAACCATTACACGGTTAGGACCATAATCGAAACTTCTTTTTAATAAACAAAAGGCTTCCCCTATTCGGTCAAACCTATAAAAGTTAGGACCAAAGTCGAAATTCCATCTCGATAAACGAGAAATTTTATTTTCAGACCAGGTAACAAATCCTATAAAAGTTAGGGTTATCTGGATCTTTTTGATTTTTAGAGTGGAGATCACACTCTTAGTTTCACCTTCCAAATTCTCGAAGTGGAGATCTCACTTTAAGTTTCTTTTTCAGCTGGAGATAGAATATAAAATTCTTTCTCTCCAGCATCGGGTTTGTCTTTACCCCAAGAGAAGGAAGACATGAGATAGAATATAAAATTCTTCCTCTCCGGTATCGGGTTCGTCTTTGTCCCAAGAGAAGACACAATCTTTAAACATCCAAAATCCATGCCTCACACCCATGAGGGATTTTATCTCGATCCCTAAATAGAGATAAGTCTGCATCTAATATATGTTGTCGGGTGGTTCGTTCTCGCGAAAACGACCAAATCTACGTATTCAACATCCTAGCGATAAAAATCCACGCCTCACATGCATGGAGACTTTATCTCGATCCCTAAATAAAGATAAGCTTGCATCTAACACATGCTGCTAGGTGGCCCGTTCCCGCGAAAACGACCAAATCTACGTATTCAATATCGTAGCGATAAAAATCAATGTCTTTTACGCATGGGGGACTTTATCTCGATCCCTATATAGAGATAATTCTACATCTAACACATGTTGTTGGGTGGTCCGTTCCCACGAAAATGACCAAATCTACATATTCAACATCGTAGCGATAAAAATCTGTCTTTTACACATGGAGGACACTATCTCAATCCCTAATTAGAGATAAGTCTACGCCTAATACGCGTTGCCGGTTAGTCTCTTACCATAAAAAAGACAAAAGCCCACGTATTCAACATCGTGACAGGCTGTTATTAATAACGCCATAATCCTTGTCTTACACGCATAGAGAATTTTATCTCGAACCCTAAGTAGAGATAAGTCTACGTCTAACACGCGTTGCGGTTAGTCCTTTATAGTAAAAAGGTCAAAAGCCCACGTATTCAACATAGTGGCAGGTCATCATTAATAATGTTATAATCCATACCTTACACGCATAGGGAATTTTATCTCGAACCCTAAGTAGAGGTAAGTCTGCGCCTAACACGCGTTGTCGGTTAGTCCTTTACCGTAAAAAGGACAAATGCACACGTATTCAACATCGTGGCAGGCCGTTATTAATAACGTCATAATCCAAGCCTTACACGCATGAGGAATTTTATCTCGAACAATAAGTATAGATAAGTCTACGCCTAACACGCGTTGCCAGTTAGTCTATTTTCGTGATATTGACAAAGCCTATGCACCAAGCCTAAGAGAATTCATTCTTTTAGCACAACGTTACATGTGAAATGGGTTTAAATAATTCACATGCTCGCCTGATTCAAACGATGATCGGTAAAAGGTCATCAAATCCGTTGATGGTTGAAGGTTTACCAAAAATCCTATGCACATTGCCGGGTTGCCTATTCTCGTAAGAATGGCGAAGTCTACGTATTTAATATTGTAGCATCAAGTCTAAAAGAGTTCATTCTTTTAGCACAACTGTCACGCCTCGCTTCTCAAAATACTAAGAAATCGGGATGCGAGCAAGCCTGCGACGTATTAGACTGAGGAGAATTAAGTACTAGATCATCTCTACTCAATCTAATACGCTAAGCGTCAAGCAATATAAAGCGAAGTCACAGGTCCCCGATCACAGTAGCAAGAATATAATAAACAACTCAGAACCAAAAGATACATATCATAACTTAAATAATCATCCAGACATAATATTTGGACCAAACATGCCCTTATACAAAATTATCTGAATGAAATACTAGAAAAATATATAATACATCGATTAGGCAGAAATGGTAAGTGCTATAAAAGTAAACTAAGGACCAACAACTGATAAAAGAAATGACTAGGCTTTGGCTTCTTCTGCTCGGTCTACAAAGCACTCCTGTGGAGGATCCTCTGGCTCCTGTACGACTCCGAACTGAAGCTGCCCGTCTTCTAGATCTGACGTACAACCCGAGAGAATAGGAGCATGCCAGCGTGCATGACACACGACAAGGTCCCACAAGGAAGAATAGAAACGGTCGAATGACCAATGCAATAATAGTAATAATAAATGGGAGCATGGTACTAGAATTCTAATAATCTAAATACAATCTATCACTAGAATATAATAATCAAAAGAATCCAAAAATCAATCGGGTAACGAGGTCATGCAGCTAGCGATCAGAATAATCATCCAAGTAACATGGTCATACAACTAGATAGAATTAATATTTAAAAATCTATAACTCGGGGCGTAGTACGTGGAGTGAAATAATCCAAACAAGGAAACCCTCATGTATATACTATATGTCTCAAATTGTAGATAATTAAATATTAATCCCGATCTATGTATGAAAAGAATATAACTAGTCCGTATCTCACAAGAATCCATAATCCTCTAAATAACGATATCATATAACTAACCATCCTATAACAGGTTATTAGTCCATTTCTCACATAGAGTCAACGTTCATATTCTCGGATAACTGACTATTCACAAATCATCTACGAGCATCCAAACCCGTGAAACGGTCCGGTGAGAGGACTACACGCAATCCGATTTCGGCCTGGTCCGAACTCAAGCAAAACTCGGGTGACGAAACGATTTCACTAACCAAGTGCGAAACGATTCACTTGGCCCAACAAACCAACCCCAGTGCGAAACAGTTCACTGGTGCGAGTCTGGAAGATACATCAACAGCCACATCCGATCACATGAACCAAGACTTTCCCACCCCAACTCTTCTTGTTTTTCTAAGTCAACATACACATGTCTCTAAGTCTTATAAAAGGTTACTAAGGTCATGAACTACTAACGGTTCTCAATCACAACAAGAAATAATAGATGCAATTGATCATGTGCAATAATATCATGACATATCACATAATTAAATTTAAGAATTATAAATCATAAACAGTAACAATGAACAGTACGGTGTGTGTGTACAATAACAGTGAGCAAATCAAGAATAATTCCTTTTTCAAAATAGATTTCCTTTAAATTATTTATAATTATTCTAAAATGATTATGTTACCAAAATAAATTCTTTTAAATCATTATAATTATCTAAA